TCGTGTAGGTATACCATTTGTTTAACTATAACCCTCCACCACCCGACATAGCCAATCAAATCAAGCTGTGAAACGAGACCAATTATGTGCCTGGAGCGTTATCAGGAATTGAATAGTTCACCTTCTGAAAAAAGTTAATTGGGGTTCAACGTTAACATTGAGTGTTAAAATAAATATTGCTTTCTGATGTGTTTTCGGGCTGTAATGTGTGTTTGTCCGACGTTTTGTTCCTTAGAGCTTGTTCAGGAAGCGGACAAAAATGTAGGCGACATTGTACTGAATAACACGGTTCAACCAGAAAACACAAGTCTGTGAGCTTTTCGGCTTTAATACTGTACTCTTCATCTTCTTAATAGATAACACAAACTTCTTCTGTACTCCTGTTGTCTTGATCGCCCGTGAAGTGGCCCGATCATGTGTTGCGTTGTTATTCACCAAAGTATTCACTATCGTGGTCAGATGTCAACCATATTTCCTTAGCCAGGCTTGGACACTAAACCCAATTTTTTCAATAAATTATAAATATTTCACCTTGTACGCTATGGCTCTTATGTTCCAAACACTTTTTTATCTGGTGCTGTCTACCGCATTGGTGCTCTTGCACAGGAGATTCACCTTTGAGAGTAAATTACTTATTCGTGTTATTTTGTAACGAAATGGTGGATCATTCACCGCATTATGCAAGCTGAATGGGAGCTGGTTTGGAATTTTGTAACCGTGCATCTTCCACATACGGAAGTGGCGAAAGATTTGCAACCGCATGTCAGATATTATTCCTACACTGTCGGCTGTATCATTTTTTTTTGTCCTCTTCTGAAACAAAACTTTGCGCTCGCTTAGCACGTCTCTTTTTTGATGCGATCACCTGCGATTAGAGCCGTTGGCTACGTATGGTGCGAAAGAAGTTCAACATACACACATGATAAAGCCATGTTTTGGGGGGGGGGTGTGAATAGTTGCCTGTGTCAGTAATGCTCTTGGGTAGAACATCATTTTTTTTCTCCTATAGGTCATTTGGGTCGATTCACTGAATGAAGGGTTACTCATTTATAATCGGAGCATTGGTTTTTTTGTTCGTGCTTCAAGTTGATCAGTCCGCTTAGCTGTTGAGTGCCCGATAATATAGAAGTGAAAACAGAAGGATCACTAGGGCATGAGGGGAAATTATTCCATTGTGTGGCGACTACAGGGAAAGGAATCGGAAAATGTATTGTTCAGTGGGGTTGTGATCACGCCTCTCAAACTCTGTTGATTTGTTCCAACATTACAAACGCAACATTTTTCGTGAAGTTTATACCGAGGAAAAAAACCTCACAGTTTTCCAGGACTATTTAAGGAGCGCGTTGTTTTGGGTGAGTTTTTAGGGTGCGGGAGGAAACTAGAACTGCCATGCAGATAGCGTGTCGTAAACCTACTTGCGAGACTGTCTCCTAGAGGCACAATGCTGTAGGCCAGCTGGGGGGGGGGGGTGGGCGACTCGTGCACATCACGCCACTTGCTGGAATGTGCGAAAACACACAATGAGAATCCTTCACTGGTTTTGAAGGTTAATTCTGTGTTGTGTGACTGCTTGTTGAGGACTATAGTGGGGGGAAAAACCCCATGTTTGCAGAGATATCTGTTAATATAAGAGGGTCCTTGATTCACCATAGTTCACGGTCAACAGGTCCCTGAATACGGTGCTTGGCCAATTCCACTAATGAGTGTTTGGCAAGTAACGGCAGCAACCAGTGAAAACCCTTTGCACTCAAAGGGATAGCACTCCGCACAGATATGTTCAATAGTCCATTGCTATACTGCTATTGTCCTGCCTGGCCACCTCGCAACCTAAGCCCACACACCACATGCTATTCCCAGGCAGTCTCACATCCAAGTTCTACACAGGCTTAGTCCTCCATAGCTTCTGGGATCTGATGGTCAGGTGCGTTCAACGTGATTTGGCCATAAGCAATAAGAAGGCACGGGATTGGTGCAAAGTCAAAAGTGCGATTTCGGCCTCTCACTAATGATTAATATGGCACGGTGCAATCCATTGTCCTTCAACCATGTGTGAGACCCCTTGAGATATGTTACGCAGTATTTTATGAGTGTCATTCTACATTGCATTGGAGGAGGAATTCATCACGTACCATCCTGACTGCAGTTATATTTGTCTTTGATTGTTTTTGCTTGGAGTGAGCCGATTATGATTTCGAGAAAAGTGTGTTTTGAAGGTTGCCGTCATTTGTCCTTTATGTTTTCATAACATCTCAACGTGTCCTTCATGGCTCTAAGACTGGTTGTATCTAAACTTTGTTTCCTGTTTGTGGCCGAGTGAACACAAACTGATTCCATTGATTCCATAGTTGTGAGTTTCAGTTGTACCTCTACTGTTAAGAGTGCAACACACAAATATCCCTTCTAGCCTGCGGGGGCAAGTGTTGTCAGTAGTAAGCCTCGATTAAGGCGAGCACAGCATACCGCGCCCAGCACTATGCCTGGCCGCCTTCGTCTCCCCAGTGCTAATGTTTACACGCTACACCGGGTACTTGTTTAAGGCGGAGTTCACCTAAAATGATGCCGAGGACAGGTTCAGATTCCATTTGCCACTGATGTGCATAGCCAGGGTATCGAACCAAGGTCGCCGTTACACAGAACAGCAACATCAGCTATGGACCACTACATGGTGGTAACATAACAACTGCACTTGTACCAGGCTAGGTGTGCTTTGATTCCACATGGAGACATAAATGTTTAGTTGGCTGGTCACTGAACAGAGTTTAGGTTTTCGAGGTTAGCAGTCTAGGGTGACTGGAATTTGCATCACATGTTTTTTAAACACGCATGAACAGACACGCAGTATTCAGAAACATGGCAAAATAAAATTTGAGCCTTCACATCACAATGAGCTGACAGAAAAAGCCAACTTTTGAGGAGCTTGTGCATTGCGCGAGTGGGATTAAAGAAGCCCTTTGATCTCACAGACTCCAGAGATTTAAAACAAATCTCTCCTTGAAATAGTTTTCGTTGTCTGCCTGTACCATAGTGACTGTAGCCCATCCGTTATCTGAACTCAAGTAGGTAGGTACGAATATGGTAAGGGTCCTTCCAGAATTGTGAGCCTAGTTCAAATGAAAATGTATTAAAAATATAACACAAATGTGCATGGTTGTGAGCGTAGTTTAATTATGCCTGTAATTATTGGAGTGACTCATCGCATGTGAGAAAATTGGCAGGATGGTGTTTCTCGTCATCCATTAACAAGTAATATTTTTGTCTTACAAGGGAAGTCTCCAGAGCTTTCACTTCCTACCATTTTATTACAGGAGGGATAGCCCAGTAAAAAATACAAGCAGACAATGCATGAAATGTAAATTGTTTACTAAATCATACTACTTGTTTACCTATGTAGAATGGGGGTGAAGCGGTTTTAATGTGTCTTCTGTTTTATTGCTTCTTAAATTAATGATTGCAGACACTGAATCATTGACCATCAGTAGATGAACAGATACTAATTAAACCGGTTCACATGCATAAAAGATGTGAATGACCATTTTTTAAGTGAGACTGAGCAAAGGGAAACAGTAGAAATGAGACTGTACAATGAAGACAAAAAAGAGTAGATTTCCTAAAGTCGCGTTGCTACAATGGCAACCTCTTCGCTAAAAAAATTAAAGTTTCATATAAGAATTGGTTTTAACCGAGGTGTTAAGATGTTTAAACACCAAACAGAAACCTTTTGCAAGGAATCATGTCTGCATTAACCACACATACTTGTGGTGAATATGCTAAATGAAACGTGCTTTGGTATTTTTAAAATAAAACATGCTCTGGTATTTTTTGTTTAGCATAATCACCACAAGTATTGTGTGGTTAAGGCAAACATGATTTCTTGCAAAAGGTTTCTGTTTGGTGTTTTAACATCTTAACACCTCCTGTTTTATTGCCAGAGAGGGTAAAACCGATTCTTATATTTTGATACTGACAAGAAAGGTCTCAAGTATGTTTCAGCTACAAGTGCTCAAGGGTTTACAGCTATAAGCCCATGGTGAAAATTCCACATTCTTGCGACAGGTTTGGGAGCAGGTTAACCCATTACACAACCACTGGTTGTCCTAACAAAGGACAGCTCATTTTATTCACGCCAAAGGCATGAGGGGGGCTGAGTTAAACCCCCCAACTTGGATTTTAACTTACAACATGTTTTTGAGCCTTGGCCTCTCAAAAATTGTGCTGCCTGGCCACATACTTTTAGTATATAATGGGTTGATAGATTTATAGCCACGTGAGAGCCCAAGGGTTTTAATAATTGTGTGTTCTTCATTTGAAGCTTTCGTGACTGCAGTAATCCATACGCTTAGGTTCTTTCTGTAAAGTCACGTAGATAGAAAATTAATAGATCGCTAAAAATGTTTCTATCTACATGACTTTACCGAAAGAACCAAAGTGTATAATTGTTTATTACCTGCTATGACATATGGATCAGACTCATGAACATTGACAACAAAAATATAACAAAAGTGTGCAAAGAAGCCTGGAGAGGCGCACACTTGGAATACACCGAGAAGCAAATAGGAATCGGGGAACATCCACAAGCGAGAGGCATTGGCTTAACTAAGTGGGATTGGACGTAAAATGTCGCTAGAAAGGGAAATGGTCAGCTTGTTGGAGTGCCAGTCTAAAGGCAGCAACACGCCAGCAAGCACGTCCATTGCTGAGACGGAACAATGAGATCAGTTTGTGTACAGGAGCTAGATGGATTTTGCATTGCTAGACCATGCAAAATGGCGACAGCTTTGGGGAGGCCTTCATCCTGCAATGAATCGATCATTGTTGTTGCTGCTGATATTGATATAATAGCCCTTTGAAATTACAAGGGTCTGCCCAGACTCAAATCCAAAATCTCAAGAGTTCTTTGTTCGGTTCCTGCACTTCATTGCTGGTGAACAAGGAAATGTCTGCAATGGCATTGCCAAGGCCTCATTTTGCATAATGTCTATTTTGTGTGTGTGTTTCCACAGACTTCCTCTTCAAGTTCCTGGTCATTGGCAGTGCTGGCACGGGAAAGTCCTGCCTCCTGCACCAGTTCATAGAGAACAAGTGTGAGTGACCACACAGCACGTGTCCTTTCTATCACAATTACTAGATCATGTAATGGAGCTTGGCTGGCTCGGGTGTATGAGTGGCCAAGGCAAGTACAGTCAGCTGAGTTATCCAGGGTATCTAAACTAAAACTAAGCTAAACTATATTTTACCAGGTAAGGTCCACTAACCTATATAGTTCTCTTTCAGAAGTGGCCTGGCCACAAATGATAGCTCAAGAAAGTGGCTTATGTGGAAATCTATTGCAGCCAAATGGTCTAAACGCATGATTCTAGAGGAGCGGGAGAATATTTCGGGCGGCCACGAGGAGAACATGCAAACTCCATATATACAGGGGTTATGATCGAACGCACGACCTCCTGCGTACCAGGCGAAGTAGTTAACATCTCTTCCCACCGTAGCAAGATGTTATGTATGCTGAACTTATGTTGCACCGTACGTAGCCAACCATGCTAAGCGGAGTTTGTCGGGGAAGGATAACAAACTAAACATAAAAAAGACGTTTTAAATGAAATTTCAATATATATTTTATGGGTAACTGGAGGGGGGGAGGGAATGGTCAGATGATAGAAAATACGATTAATGCAAAACATGTAAACGAGGCGATACGAACATATTTACTGCCTACCTACATAAAATTGGGGTAAAGACATAGAATGTGTCATCTGATTTTATTCTGAAAGCAATTAGTCATGAGTGAGGAGCAGCTAATAATAGATCCAGTGAACGTAAAATGTGTGAATGACTGTGGAATACTGTACTGTATTTTCCCTTTTCACAAGCACAGTTAATCTGCAGCCTGGATAATCCGCCCACGAATAGAGAGTTGACTATTATACAACGATTGGATTGCTGCGTGTAGATAACTGGGATGAGACGCCTTGGGGAATTAAGCGCCGTGACAGGTGTTTAATATGTTTGTCGCGGTCGATATTCGGCATGATGTCCGACGTTTCGCTGCATGTGCTGGGAGCTTTTTGTAGGAATAAATAAAGACACGATTGTGGTTTACATGGCGTGCCTCACGCGTGCGACTGATGCTTGTGCGTGTGCGTGCGTAGTCAAGCAGGACTCGAATCACACCATCGGAGTGGAGTTCGGCTCGAAGGTTGTCAACACTGGCGGTAAAACTGTGAAGCTTCAGATCTGGGACACGGCGGGCCAAGAGCGCTTTCGGTGTGTGTTTTCCACATGCTTATACCACCACTGCAAAATAACCTAATTCCTGCAAAATAACCTAATTCGCTGTTCAGTAAAAACTTGCAATAATATGCAACGTGCGGCGCTGGAGCCGCATGCAGCTCGTTAAGAAAGACAGTCTCCTATTTGCATGCATTGCGGCTCTGGACAGATTGAATTGTTTTACCGAATTAGAAAAACATGGCTCTTGCTATTTTGGTTTGCCGACCCCTGATGTGCAGTATTTAAGTAATGTTTCCTTTCGGTGTGGAATTAGCCATCGGTGAGCAACGGGAGCGGTTGTCTTTGTTTCTGTCCGGCACGTTGGTGTCTGGTCCTGGTCCGGTTCTCCTTTTTGCTGACTCGGCCTGAAATTAGTACTCTTGAGTCATGGCCTGAATCGGCCCTGTGGAGACAATTTGTAATGTGTGAACTGACTGCACAACTGAACATAGCAATAAGCTACAAGTATGTGCAGCAGTAACATTTGATAAATAAATGTGTAAGCACCACACCACTTCATGATACATGAGTGTCAGTGACTGCTGTTACGCTGGCCCTTTTTCCTTTTATCTAGTAAGCGTAAATTTTACACTTTTAAATGTATAGTCATGTTTTAAATTAATATGCACTCTGTACACCTATGATGGGTTTCTTTATACTTTAGCACTGATGTATTTACTAGGTAGGCGAGCAAAATGTCTGTCTAGTTAATGGGCTAAGAGGTTGCCAACAACCCTTGATATACTCGTAGTGAACTGACAATTAGCATCAAGCCAGCCAAGTCGACCGCAAATCAACCGCGAGGCTGGGTTTCTTACTAATTAATGACTTGTGTGGTTGGCTGGATTGACTTTTGCACCCTTTGCTGCTTGGCCCAATAAACGACTCTGGTCATTAGATGAATATAAAAATGTCCCTCTGGCCTGCCTTTGAAGAGGCACCGTGTGAACACCATAAATGAAAGTGGCCAAAAACTGAAAATGCCATACATCGCACTGGAGAGGCTATGCAAGCCATTGGACTGGTGGAACTAACCAACCAAATTCTCTTTTAACTGCTAACCCTAAGCAAACTAGCAAATAGACACGAGTACTAGCTCTCTTGTTAACCTTAGCCCTTATAACTAGACAACCAGCTACAAGTACTAGCCCTCCCACTGACCCTAATCAACTAATGCCATCTTTCAGCCTAACTAACCTGCCACAGCCAACCTCTTGTACTAGCCCTGTCATGAATCTTAATTCTACCCCTACACCTCAGCCATCACCCCTTTGTGTTTGCTTTTTTATGTTGGCGTTCACACCAAAATTGTTGTCTTCACAGCTCTGTCACCAGAAGCTACTACCGGGGAGCAGCCGGTGCCCTCTTGGTGTATGATATCACCAGGTAAACCTCATGCATGCCACAACCCTCTTTAACTTAAGGCCAAATGTCCTGCTCATTGCATTCTCCACCGCCGTTTCGTGGCGAATGGCAGTTGCTGCTGCTGTTGTTGTTGTCGTGTGAGCGCCTGTGCGCCTACGTGCGATCTAATCCACCATTCCTTTTCTACCGCGGTAGCCGGGAGACGTACAACGCCCTGACCAACTGGCTGGCGGACGCACGCACGCTGGCCAGCCCCAACATCGCCATCATCCTGTGCGGCAACAAAAAGGACCTGGAACCGGACCGAGAGGTCACCTTCCTTGAGGCGTCGCGCTTCGCCCAGGAGAACGGTTTGCCTCTCCCTTCAACACGTCCACCTTCCCAGCAGCCACTCCCAGCCTTTGAACCTCCCTCCCTCTCTTACTGCAATTGCCCCCCCCCTTCCATTGATCTTTATAGGCGAATCAGCTTGAATTATGTTTATTATTGGTTGGGCTGTGTATACCATATGCACCCTTATTAGCTGTTGTCAAGGAGATGGGCTTCAAGTGGCAGGGCATGTGTGGTTCTGGTGTGCTAAATAAGCTTCTTGTCATGGGCCTGCTAGTCTTAATAGGGGCTCGATAACAGCAGCGACACCAAACATATACATCTGTGTATATGATGTTAATTTTCCTCTTTGTAAATCCCAGTGGGGCTCTCTAAAATTAAATGCCTTTTTCAGATGTATCTGACAAAAGTTTTATATTTTTACAATATTACAACTTATATTCGGACCATGATGCCCACGTATATTGTATGGGTATTTTAATGCCCTTACAGGAAATGGCTTTGCTTTGGTGTTAAAGCTGCAGTCTTCCTTGTGCAGCTGAATGAGGACTCAAAACTTTAACTCTTTGAGTGAAATGGATGAGTGTGCTGGCAACTGGTCTGTGTACTGCTTAGAGGTATAATACTGAGAAATGGTCGGCTGTCACCATATGACTTCGGCATATTCCTATGGCGAGGCTTAAACATTTTGTTTTGATTGTCATGCATAGAGCAATTTTTTACAGGGTATATAAAAATGTGCATCACCTAATGCAGATAAGAGGCCTTTGAAGTGGGCTTTCAGAAGTAGTTCCATGACATTATTTCCCAGGCGCCAAATTATTTGACACTCGCTGCAAGCACTCGAATGGAAATGTATGCAACTCGTGACATCCCAGAATAGCACGATTAGAGAGAGAAAAAACATTTTAAAAATAGGGTACATTACACTACTGATGGCACCTCCAATCGGTGCGGTACCCTAAGCTGTGCTTTGATTTTTTTACAACTAAGTTATAAAGCGTGCGTGCATTGGCTCTTTTTGTCCTTCCGTCCATTCATCTGTATCGGTGGAAGGATTCATCATACATCTCTTATAGAAGATGCAGTATGAACAAAACGATCGTGTAAAGTTTCGTCGTTATTAAGGACTTCCCGTTTGTTGAGTTTCAACCTCGTAACCTAGGGTCGATGTCCAGTGATAGATGCTTTCATCAGTTGTGATCTTTAACATCTCTTATAGAAAGCTCTGTCCCACCCTGTTGAAAAGTGGCCATATTGATCCAAGGGTTTGTGGAAACTGGGGAGGGACTCAAAGTAGAGTAAACAGGACACGTTTTGCCCCGACAGCTATTAACTGTCGGCTTGCAATGTGCCAATTCAATATTTCCGAGGACGGTTCCGTACATGTAAATCCTTGCATATGCATGTGCTTTCTTAACCGTCGTGTTTTTTTTGTGTGCGCTCACAGAGCTGATGTTTCTGGAGACGAGTGCGTTGACGGGCGAGAACGTGGAGGAGGCGTTCCTCAAGTGTGCGAGGACCATCCTCAACAAGATCGAGTCTGGTCAGTCGTGTCACATTTACCACTGGTGAAGTCACCTTACGGGGGGTAGTGCTCGTACAGTCTCGGCAAGAAGGGCCTTGGTTCAATTCCCTCCTCGGGTGCCTTTTTGCGTGGAGTTTGTATATTCCCCCATTTGTTATGCATGAGTTTCCTCTGGGTTCTCTGGTGTCCTTCCATAGCTTAAAAAAGGGTACAATGTGTGCATATTTGTGGGTGTGTGTGTGTCTATGTATGGGGATCGGTGGTGTAGTGGTTAGCGAACCCGACTACCCGAGTTCGATTCCTGCTCAAGCTAACACCAGTGACGATTATCTGAATTAGTCCTGTGCCTCCCCTAGGTGGACTCAGCCTTAAATTAGTACTTTGTGCGGTGTGTAAACATTGCCACTAGGTAGACAAGGGTGGTCGGGCATAATGCTGAACCCCCCTCCCTCACCCCTTGTGTGCCATGCTAGCCTTCATAGGTGCTCGCTAACAGTACTTGCCCCAAAAGTATGTTAAGGCTATATGGGTGATCTTTGTCTTTATGCGTGTGTAGAAGTGTAATTGCGCATGGCTACGAATGTTGAGGTGTGATTATGCATGGCCACGGATGGCCAACAAACACAAGGGGCGGGGTTACGGCCGTACACAAGGGTGGCGCTCGCACCGACGTCCGCATGTGTATCCCCCACGGGCCCCCCCTCGGGGGCGAGTCCTATAAAAGGTGATGAGCTCGAGGGCTCGAGGTCGGGACTCAGCTTTAACCAGAGAAGACGGAAGACCAGCTAGTGTAGGCCCCAGAGCTCCCCTGGCTCGCTGTCCTTATAAGGGCCGACCAGGGCAAGCCGGTGGCGTGGCCCCGAGAGCCCAGACGAAGCTGGTCTGGTGACTCAGGGAGCCGGGATCCCAGCTTAACCAAGCTGGGACAGATAGCCTCCCCTAGTCCCGTAGTGGAGGAATTGGTATAGGTTAGAGGGGTTAGCTGTCGAGAAATCCCTGTAGCCAAGTGACCTGTAATAACTGTGTTGGTGTAATAAATAAGTGTGCCTCCGATCCTGTCGTCAAGCCTCCATATACTTACTACATCTGGTGTCAGAAGTAAAACGTCCAACGATGGACACACGAGGGACGACACGTACCAGGGAGTCGGAGATGGAAGACGCCGCGGCCGAATCACCACCAGAGATGGCCGGGGTCGGATCGGAGCTGCCGGGGCCGAGTACGCCCGCGCCGCCACGACAAGAGGGGGGGGATGCGTCGGCCGAAGGACTTCGGCTGGCCCACTCCCGCCTGGCGGAACTGCTCTACGCCGCGGCCGCCGCGTTGGAGGAGATCACGCGGCTGGGGGCTGGAGGAGCAGCGCGGGTCGACGACGGCAGCCGACGCGGGGCAACGTTTCCCGCCACCCCGACGCGGCTCGCGGTCAAATTTCCCGCCATCGCTACAGTGCGAGCGGAGGGCGGGGCCGGGCCGCGTCACGTGTCTGCTGAGCGCCAAGCACAAGCCGTGACGTCATCAACACCGGCCGGCGCATCAACATCAGAGCGACCGGCGATGCCATGCTCACAGCCCGCCCACACTGTATCATCGGCGGGGAGCGACGGAGAGCGTTCTGCAGCCACGGACGCCGCCTTACAACAGCGTCTGCCGCCTCTTAAAGAATTCGTGGGCGCAGACGGAGACTGGGGCGGTTTCAAGAGGCGGTTCATCGCTCATCAAGAGATGGCGAACTGGTCGGACGCCGAGGCTCTACGCGCGCTGCCAGCGATGCTGGACAACGACGCCCTGGCTACCCTCACCTCGGCGCCGAGGGAAAAGCGCGCCACTCTACACCTGGCGTTGCAGCTGCTGTCAGCCGTCTATGGGCCGCCTTCGGACTGCAGGCAGCTGTTCCACGATCGGCGTCGGGGCGCCAACGAATCGCCCCTGGCCTTCCGGACAGCTCTCCTGGCCCTGGCGAAGGCTGCTTTTCCAAGGATGGACGAGGAAGGAGTGGATGCCATGGTGGCTGAGAAACTGCTGCTACTCGCTGATGAGCTGGACGTCAACGTCCTGGCTCAAGACGACGCGGAGATGTCGTCCCTGCTGGTCGCGCGCCACATCCACGGGGGCTTGCGGTCCCTACGTCGAAAGGCGGCAAAGGGGGCGGCCAGCCATGCCATGGCGGCTACCGCCCTCCCATCGGAGGAGGTCTGCGGGGTGGAGCGGCGAGGGGAATGGAGATCGGCGGCACCACAGGCTCGGAATGGACCGAGCCGCCAGGAGCAGCCCAGGACATCGGGGGCGCTCACACGCTGCTACAACTGTGGCCTGCAAGGCCACGTTGCGTCAGGATGCCGGGCTCCCCGTCAGCGCGGGGCGACACCTCGTCAGGACGCCACGCCGTCTCCTCCCAAGCTCCAGCAGAGAAATACGGCGAGTCGCGGCACCTCACACGTTTGGCCCACGCACACATCCGACACACACGCGCTCAACCAAACAGGGCTCCAAATTCCCCGTCCGTCGCGCGCGATTGTTCTATAATGCGGCGAGCGCTCCAACCGGGTCAGTGGTCGGAGCTCGCCCATCGTGTCGTTGCTGTGTCGGCGGGATCATCGGTTGTGGTCGGTCATATTGATGGGGTAGAGGTGCGGATTTTAATTGACACGGGCATCGGCGACCATTATATCTGATTTGATTTATAACATCCTTCCCGTTCAAAGTCGTCCCTTGCTCCCTGTTGACGTGCCATGCTATGCTGCTAACGGGGGCTCGCTGGGCATTATTGGGCAAATCCGTGCCACTATCTGCATTGGAGACATTAAATTATCCGGGCCTGTTTTGGTTTCCTCCTCACTCGCGGTTCCGTGCCTGTTGGGGACGGATTTCTTGGCCAAAATGCCCATCCGTATCCTGATTGACCAGGGGTGCATTGAGCTCCCATCGGGCCGACGCGTTACATTTTTGTCTTCCCCCACCACGGAGCGTCGGGCGTTTGCCACCGTGCAGGCGCTCGTGACAAAAACTGTGCGCGTACCTCCGGGGGCTCAGATGCTCGTCCCTCTTAGGTTGCGTCGGCCGTTTAATGAAGGGGTTGCGGATCGGGGGGTCTTGTTGGGACCATCTCGGGCCGGGGTAAATGGACCCGATTTGCTCGCGGCTCAGACCATGGTGAGAGGGGATGGGGACCCCTTCATTGCAGTCCTTAATGTGGGATCGCGAACGGCCGTGGTTCCTCAAGGGACCGTGCTTGCACACGCAACGCCGGTACCCTATGAGGAACCACTCGTGGGTCAGGTATCCACCGATCCTCCGTCGCGACCGCATTCGGACTGTGATGACGGATGGCTGGATGCGCTTTGCGCGGGTTCAGTGGACCTGTCCGACTCGCAGCGCGCGCAGCTGCGAGTTCTCCTGAGCGAATTTGCTGACGTTTTTAGTCAACACAAATTTGATATTGGTTGTACTAAATTGCTGCGACACCATATTGACACGGGTGACAGCGCGCCAATCCGCCAAAATCCCTTTCGGTTGAGTCCCGCCGAAAAGGATCATGTCAAATCGGCTGTTGATGACATGCTAGCCGCCGATATCATTTCCCCTTCCAACAGCCCGTGGGGCGCGCCGATCGTTTTGGTGAAAAAACACGACGGCTCACTGCGGTTTTGTGTCGACTTTCGGCGTCTGAACAAAATCTCTGTGGCAGATGCGTACCCGCTTCCTCGAATGGATGAGTCGCTCGATGCCTTGGCGGGGGCGCGATTCTTTTCCACCCTCGATTTGCTATCTGGATTCTGGCAGCTTCCTCTGGATGACGAATCAAAACCTAAGACTGCTTTTCGTACACCGCAAGGTCTCTTCCAATTTAACCGCTTGCCGATGGGTTTACATTCTGCGCCGGCAACTTTTAAGCGGTTAATGGAATTGGTCTTGGCAGGTTTGCAATGGGATTCGTGTTTGATTTACTTAGACGATGTCATCGTCTTTAGCAAATCCTTCGAGGAACACCTCCAGAGGTTGCGTGCTGTTTTTCTCAAAATGCGGGCTGCCAATTTGAAATTTAAACCGCAGAAGTGCCATTTACTCCGCGAATCGGTGCGATATTTGGGTCACATTGTTGGGCGCTCGGGGATATCCACTGATCCCGCCAAAACGGAATGCGTCAGCTCCTGGCCGACTCCCACCTCGATGGGAGAGGTCAGGAGTTTCATTGGATTCGCGTCGTATTATCGACGATTTGTGGCTGACTTCGCTACGATTGCGAAACCATTGCATGCCTTGACGTCCAAGGGAGTCAGGTTTCATTGGGGGCCGGAGGAGGAGGCTGCTTTTCGCGCCCTCCGGAAAGCTTTGGTGGGGGCTCCGCCGTTGAATTACCCCGATTTTTCACAACCCTTCTTGCTCGATACTGATGCAAGTAACACGGGCATCGGGGGCGTGCTGTCCCAGCTCATTGGGGGCGTAGAGCATGTGGTGGCTTACGGTAGTCGGGTACTGTCTCCAGCCGAACAGCGGTACTGCGTTACCCGTCGGGAATTATTGGCGATTGTTTATTTCATTCAGCAGTACCGCCCGTATCTGTACGGTCGGCGGTTCACCGTCCGTACAGATCATGCGGCCCTACAGTACGCCCTGCGGGTTCAACAACCATCGGGCCAGTTGTCTCGATGGTTGGAGATCCTCCAAGACTATGACTTTGTCACCACATATCGTAAGGGTGTCCGCCACACGAACGCTGACGCCCTGTCACGATTGCCACCCACTTCGGAGTGCGCGTGCCTCTTGGGTTCGGGGCGCTGTAGGCCCCCGAACGTCACCACCGATTCGGTCCTCGTGGCCGCTGCCGATGCGCCTTCGGCTTCGGGTCCTATCGAGCAAGAAGGGAGGGATTCGTTGCTGGGGTTGTCGGTCGCGGAATGGGGACGCCTCCAAATGGAGGACACCTCCCTCCTCGCTCTGCGCCGTCGCGTCGGGGGGGCTGGTCAGGGGGTGGCGAACGTTGACTCGTGGGGGTTGTTCCAGGGTCTTTTAATGCACTGGGATGGAAAAACCCGCCGCCAGCGGCTCGTGGTTCCTGCAGCATTAAGGGGTAAGGTGGTATGGGCTGTTCATGAGCGGCTTCTGCACTTGGGGGTTCACAAGACCTTTGCCACGCTCCAGCTCGATTTCTTCTGGCCGGGCATGGAAAAGGACGTGGGGGATCTCCTGGGGTCATGCACGCAATGCGCGCAGAGGAAGCCACCTGCTAGGGGGTCCAACCCTCCGCTGCAGTCCATTAAGGTTTCCCGGGTTAACGAGCTCGTCGCTCTGGACATACTCGGCCCATTTCCCGCTACGCCCAGGGGCAATAGGTATTTATTAACGGGGGTCGAATACTTCACGAGATGGCCTATGGCCTGGCCCCTGGCAAACCAGTCGGCAGCAGCCATCGCGGAGGCCTTTGTCCAGGGCTATGTCCTCGACAAGGGTGCTCCGGAACGGCTGCTTACTGACCAGGGTAGGAATTTTTCTGGTAAACTCCTACGTGAGGTGTGCGACCTCTTGGGTACGGAGAAGGTTCGGACCTCTCCGTATCACCCACAAACTGACGGGATGGTGGAACGGCTGCATCGGACCATCACGTCTATGCTGTCCCAGCAGGTGTCAGTATCCCAGACGGATTGGGACCTCCGTATAGCCGGTGTGTTGCAGGCTTACAGAATGGCTCCCCATGCGGCCACCGGATTTTCCCCTTTCTTTTTGATGTATGGGCGCGAGGCTAACCCCCCTGTGACGACCCAGCTGAAGCTCTCGGCGCCCCAGGTGAAGTCTAACTTGTCCGAACACGTTAAATTTAACATCAGCAAATTGTCTGAGGCGCGGGAAGCGGCCGTGCAAAATTCTGAACTCCGCCAGAGGGCGAACGAGAGGCTTCGGTTGGGGCGGGTACAGGTGGTCAAATGGAAACCAGGGGACAGGGCGTGGTTGCACTGTCCCCAGGTGCCGCTGGCAACCTCGTCAAAATTGGTACGGCCGTGGCGGGGGCCAGTGGAGGTCGTACAGGTCTTGCGGCCGCAATGTGTTCGCGTCAAATGGGGGAGGCGCCGGTGGTATGTGCACCCCTCAAGGTTGAAACCATTCATCGCGCCGCCCCGTGGTTCACACACACACACGCATGGCCAAACGTGTGAGGGTTCCGCCGACTCCCCGACGTCGCTGCACTCGCCTAACCCGACATCAACTGTTCCGTCCCCAGGCGCAACAGGAGTGACGGGTCCACACCCACCAACCCCTCCCGGAGGGGTCGGGGGTCACTCGGCAGCGACGCCTGACTCTCTTGCACCCGGACCGTCAACAACCGTCACTGAGCGTGCCAGGACGGGCCCTTGTGACGGGCCCGCCGCGAGAACGCGCGCCAAAACGCGCAGACTATTGTGAGGTCGGCCGTTGGGGGGCCTTGCGGACAATGGGAGGGGTGGCGTCCGGAGTGTGTGTATATATGTTGGTTTTGGGGTATTTATTCGGGGGGGGTGCGTCGGGTTATTTTTTTCTCTCTCTCTCTTCCTGTTGTTGTTCTTGTTAAGGTTCTCTTGTTCTTGTTAAAAATTACGCGAGGCACACACACGGGGTTTTCGTGAGGGATGCACCTTTATTCTGATTTTTTTTGCAGCCAGGGACGGCTGCGAGCTGTACAGGGGGGGGTGATGTAGAGGTGTAATTGCGCATGGCTACGAATGTTGAGGTGTGATTATGCATGGCCACGGATGGCCAACAAACACAAGGGGCGGGGTTACGGCCGTACACAAGGGTGGCGCTCGCACCGACGTCCGCATGTGTATCCCCCACGGGCCCCCCCTCGGGGGCGAGTCCTATAAAAGGTGATGAGCTCGAGGGCTCGAGGTCGGGACTCAGCTTTAACCAGAGAAGACGGAAGACCAGCTAGTGTAGGCCCCAGAGCTCCCCTGGCTCGCTGTTCTTATAAGGGCCGACCAGGGCAAGCCGGTGGCGTGGCCCCGAGAGCCCAGACGAAGCTGGTCTGGTGACTCAGGGAGCCGGGATCCCAGCTTAACCAAGCTGGGACAGATAGCCTCCCCTAGTCCCGTAGTGGAGGAATTGGTATAGGTTAGAGGGGTTAGCTGTCGAGAAATCCCTGTAGCCAAGTGACCTGTAATAACTGTGTTGGTGTAATGAATAAGTGTGCCTCCGATCCTGTCGTCAAGCCTCCATATACTTACTACACGTGTAACACTCATGTCAGGAGTGATGGTAGAGTGGTTTTCCTCCTGCGTCATGAACCTGGCAACCCGAGTTTGATTCCCAGCCAGTAGCAACTGATATCTTGTACCGGTGTTGAGTCTCCTATTGGTCAACTCAGTCTTGAGTACCTGGTGTAGTATTTAAAACATGAGCAGTGGAACAAAGGCATTGTGCTGGACACCAAGTCCCTTGTGCATTGGACTGACCATTATAGGGACTCACTTACAGTCCTTTCCTCAGTGTTGAATATTGTTTAATGGGAGTTCGATGTCTTGTTTGTTCATGCTGTGTTCATGTATGTGCTGCCACAACAGGGGAGTTGGACCCTGAGCGTATGGGATCGGGAATCCAGTACGGAGATTCGACGCTTCGACAGTTGCGGCAGCCACGGGGAGTGCAAGCCCCAGCCAAGCCTGACTGCGCTTGCTAGGTGCGTATGTGGAAATTACACACGTTTGTGTGTATAATTTTGTCTTAGTTTAACCCATTTATACCTTGGTCTGCCCTGTGATCTCCTGCCAGCAAGTCTTTGGCATGAGAATAGGTTTCCACTTTTTTTCTCGCAACAAAACAGGTGTTAAGATGTTAAAACACCAAACTGAAACACCTTTTATAAGGAATCATGTCTCCATTAACCGCAATACATGTGGTTAATGCAGTCACAATACTTGTGGTTAATGCAGACACGATTCCTTGTAAAAAGGTTCAGTTTGGTGTTTTAACATCTTAACACCTGTTTTGTTGCCAGAAAAAAGGGGAAACCCTATTATCATATTTTGGTACTGGCAAAGGAGGTCCCATGGAGTCTGATACTTCACATTGCATTACAGTGCACCAAATCTGGTGCAAGTGTTATCATGACATCGCCATCACTTAGTGGCGAATGGCGGTTGCTATTGTTCCGTGTAGGAGCGACATTAGTTCGAATCCCAGCTAAACAAATCAGTGGCATATAGCATCTGAACTTGTCCTAGGCCTCCTCGACTCAGCCTTCAATAAGGTCCTGGTGTGTATTTATGTATGGGGAGCAATGGCACATCGTAGAATACACTGCAATTATGATCATGGTGTCCTGGGTAGGATTCCCAGTTGTGCCCTCGGTTTGAGTCCCCGCCGTACTGGTGGAGGGCTTTTGCTTATAAGAACAGGCGGCAGCCCAACAGCATTTATTTAATGGGCCACCCCCTGCTGAAGAGAATCGGAGCGGTTGAAACTGATCCAAGGTTTGCTTGCTTAATCAAATGCTAGAAATGTTTGGGTCATTAAAAAACCCATTTGTTCACACTCTTAAATATATATTATTTTTTACTTATTTTAAATAATTAAAATGTGCTATTTTAATCCGACATTGCTGTTAATATAACTTGATTAAAATAAGTAATAAATGCAACCCTAATTCATATTTTGTTTTGTTCCCAAAGCTTTTGAATTCCGTGCTCGGCTACGGAGACTTGCAGGAAACGGCGAGGACCAGGAGTCGCTCCATTCCAGCGACCCCCCCCCCCCCTCTCCGTGCAGCGTATGCATCAACCCTCTGGCCAAACCTTGACTCCTGACCTTTTGACTTTGACGTTGGAACTCATTACTTCCAATCTCTAACCCTACGCCTCCCATTTTCCCACTCCTTTCATCTCACGGAAAAACCCTGCTCCCTCAGTAATCCCCCCATGTGATCACGAGGGCTCATCCATCAAAACCTGATGCCACTGTCACTTTTGGTGCGGCTGAAAATGATCAGGCTGTCGATCCGATGATTGAGTTGGCTGCACCTTAGTTATTCATATTCTTACTTTTTATTGTTATTTTATGGCTGTGGTTGTGCCTCGGCTAAAACGAAAGGTTATTTGTTTTCTCGCCAAATCGAATCGGAGAGCGTGCCCACAATGCAATTGTTGGGAGCAGCGCCATGTTGGGAATATGAACGCACTGACGGGGAAGTGGCGCTGCCCTTCACCTTTGCCGTCCACTTTTTTTGGCGAAAAGGAGCCGAGTTGGCAGAAACGCGTGTCCTGTCTCTTCCACGCCTGTGGAAGTCTTCCGCCACCCGTGGGTTTGATGTCAACGCAGCGCAAGAAAGCCAGTGGTGACTGCTCAAAGGGGCAACACCGCACCCACCGCATGTGACTTTCTAAGTATCTGTGGCTAGGCGCCTGTTGTTGAAAGCATCGCCAAAAAACAAAATTTAGCTGGGTTCTGTTCAGAAGCCTGCAGGCCCGAATTGGCGAACACATTTTCTTTTGAGAGCTACTGCACAGATCGAAATGCAAAACCTCTCGATGGTTTTATTTTTATTGCATTTTGGATTTGCGATCCGCTCCGGGATGCATGCCGTTGCGTTGCGTGCGCTGTATAGCAGCAGAGGAAGGCATTGATAGACTTGGCCGATGAAGTCAGGGAGGTCGCGTGGCGAAGTGGTCGTCCCGAACCCTCTCCCATGGCTGATGGTAGCGACACGTCAGTAGCCACTTCCTCGGCCTGCCAATACCGCCACTCTCTTCCCCAGCCGCCTACACCTTCGCAACAGAAAAGTGCTGGGTGCTGATCGATCCATGTCACATCGACTGTGCCCCAGATTTAGAATCTTGCACCAAAAACTCGAAGTTGCCAATGATGAAATTATACATTATTTCGCCTTTTTTTTCAAATTCCGAATTGTTTTTGTTTTTTTACATCAAGTCCGTCTTAAAAAAAAGAATGTTTTTAGACCGAAGGAGTGGTGACCATTGGTGCCGTGTGAGTTTGTGAAGGCGGTGGCACAAACGCGGGGTTTTCTCCATTCCCGTTTCTATTCGTGTGAGTGCAAGGGGTAGCGAAGTGTATTATTGCCATGTCCGCCGTCCTTAAATTAATTTGCTGCAGGGCTTGCAGACTTTGTGCACCTTGTCTTTAGTGTATGTTTCAGTTGGAATTAGGAGTGTTTCCAACTTGGCTGTGATTTGAAGGTTATTGGGTTTTTTTTTATGCACGTGGTGGCTGTTGTAGCCATCCGGCCAAGCACACACGGCCGTTAGAACAGAGGGTGTGGAGTTCAAATCTCGTTTGCTTTTGATCCCTCTTGGGGGGGTCCACAATAAATACTACTGTGTTGGAAGTCATTTTGGGGGATTTCCTATGTATTTAATTGCCCCTGCCACAGGAATGTGCCATTTGCACCCTTGGCTCAGGGTTGTAAATGGGAGTGCCACCCCCAATGCTTAGTTGAGCATAATTTTGCGTCGACTTATGTTGCCTTTCTGACCAGTTGAAAATCCAGTGAACAGATCCCTCGTACCCATAATTTTACAGTGGTAAGGCATGAAACGATGTGGTTTATTTATAGATTTAAATCTTTTCTTACACTCCCGATGGAAGCGTAGAATAGTGCAGAATATATTTTTGTTTTCCCCCGGCGTCATGGCATGAGATGAAGTGTCCCGTTCGCAATCTTGCAGAGGAGTGCGTCACCCCGTGTTCGAGAATGCTCCATGGAAGGAGATATCATGGAAATTGTTCTGAGATCTTTTCCCACAATGAATTCTCCCATCACATTACAGTCAAAGCAGTACATTTTTTAAAGTCTTAGAGCTGCGATATTTCAAAATTAAGTGAAAAACAACATTTACTTAATAGAATCTTGCATTCTGTCATTATCGATCGCCATGAGACATCAATGCGCTTCACATTCGAACCTGGTTTAATCACTGCTGAGGACCTGGTTTTGAAGCTAGATTCTCAGCATTGCCGGCTCAGTATTCTGACCCCCCCCCCCCCCCCCCCGAGGAACTGATTATTTTGTCTTCAGATATGTACATAACTGGTTCACATGACCCATGCTGTCACGAGAGGGCTTACGTGCAACACAATTGTGAAATAAGAATTCTTAAATTGAACTGCAAACCTGAATACGTGGATTGTTGCAAATTAGTAAATATAAAATGATGACATCATCCTTGTTAACCGTCTCTCGATGCATAGTCCTGCGTAAGGATACTCGCATGGCAATAAAACATCACGCCATAGTTGAAAGCGCTTCGGTGTTCGCAGTCTCGGCATCATCCCCGTCTTCGGCGCCTTTCTCCACGGGAACGCCCATTCCGCTTGAGAAGTTACGACCCAAGTGGCCACGTTTTGTTGCGCAGTCAAGGTCGTCTTGTACACGCATTGGCCTCTCTCGGTTAATGCGTCAGCACTTTTCTCTTGGGGGTGGGGGGGGGATATGAGTTGGACAAAAAAGAGGAGGCTTTTAAAAATAATATTTAAAGGACAGTACTTTAATGCAACGTCCGCTTTCCCGGGTGGGCATGAGTGCACCCGTGGCGGCGCTTATAAGCGTAATCGATGTAACGCGTGTCTGTGACCCGTCCATATAACCGTTTTGAGTGTGTATCAAACACACATATATACTGAATGTATCTCCCAAGTTTCTGTGTCGATGGGGGAAAGCCTCTGGGGGGGTGAGGGGTTGAAAATAAAATAAAACGGTATCAATGCACTCCCATCTCAAACTGCTGCCGCGGGTCGTGTTTGCAGACGTTGCGAATTAACCTTGAAGACCGATGGAATGAGCCACGCAGCACCGTGAGCAAATATCAGGCCGGCTTGTTTAATGTTTTTTCTTTATTTGCACAAAACACAGAGGTGCAGTAATTGCACCGTGTAGTACGTGAACTGAGAACGTCTCCCATGGGTTATTAGCTACAAAGAGATACACACGAAACGCATAGATACATGGTCCCGTGGAAAATCACAGATGGAGGAAGGCATCGATCTTAACGTGATTTTTTTGTCGTATTGTATTAAGCACGTTGCCACTTTTCTTTGGATGAGGTGGGGAGACTGCTGTTGATTTCTGGGTCGGGGTGAGGAGGTCGAAAAAATGAAGGGTGGAATTTCCCATTTTTTTCATCTATTGGTTCTTCAGGCAGGTCCGCGCCCGAGCGATCAGTCACATGACTAAATCACTCTGGGAATCGCACACCTTAATCGCCTCTTCACACGTGAACGCCTCTGGTTGCAGAGACGGCAACGTATAAACGATTTGAGTTGCATGCGACCGAGTTTCTCAACTGGCTTGTAACCCGTCTTTACACTCGCCAGAAATGCATTGAATCTTGCGTGCGAGACTCGATTCATTTCAATTTGTATGTGTTGTATTTAATTGGTTCATGTTACCTTGGCAGCCACGATAGAGCATCTATCAGCTATATACATTGCTGTACCATTGACCCAGGAAATAGTGGTGCAGTCTGTAGCAAATTGTATAGTCTGCGGCATCTACTGATGTCTGTAAACCTTGTCCAAACTCGCCGAATGGAACACGTTAGTTTAGCAATGGTAGTAATGCATTTATCATTATTGGTTTAAAGGTTCATGATATGTGGCATATAATCTAGTTTGTAATTTCTTTTTTCACGAATCATTTTCTAGGTAATTGGGGTCCCATGTGGTTGCTGCAGCCATTAACTTAACATTGCTACATTCGCCTTTGTTGAAAAAAATCTTGAACTGTGATCCTGAATTGTGACAATTCATCATAACCTCCAAGTGGACGGGGCGGTAGTGGGCGGCATGTAGCTCACTGCGCCTCTTATCGGTAAATTCATCTTTGGTACACGGTCTTTGTCACTGCGCGAGTTTGAATTGGAAGTGCATTAGCCATATTTTGTTATTGTTGCCATGCTGAATGTAATGCGTTGAAACTTTACGTGGCTAAATGTTATATTTTAGTGTTCTGTGACTGGCCTCTCCATTGCCTTTGTCTTTGCCGACATGACCTTGCCAGATTTTAGATGTCCCTGTTTTTGTTACATTTATTGCCGTTAACATAACTTCACACAAGTAGATAAAAAACATCCGTTTCATATTAATCGTACAAATAACATGGGCACATTAACCAAAAAGGTACAATTTTGGAGGGTTAAAGTAAAGCGGAAGCAATTTACAGTGAGGCCAGGCCAGTTGTTGAATTTATGGAGCAGTTGAGGAAAGGGGTGTGTGCATTCATTCACAAATTGCTACTTAAATCTTTCGTGACTGCAGAAATTCATATTCTTTACGTCTTTCGGTAAAGTCGCGTAGATAGGTTCAAAGAAAACAAAAAACTACGACGTTTTGATCGCAACACAAGCGTTCGTCATCAGTAAGAGGTTCTCGCTTCTGTTGCGATCGAAACGTCGTAGTTTTTTGTTATTTCCTTTGAACCTATCTACGTGACTTTACCGAAATACCCAAAGAATATAAATTGCTACTTGTGATCAATAAGCTGTGCGTTAAAATGCCATTGTGATAGCTGCGCTGGCGATTACGGATGTGTATTGCGATTCTTTAGCTGTCGGGAACGCAGATATCACCCTGATGCCTGGTTTATCCTGAGGAATACATATATCACAGGCATCGGTTGTATCATCCATTGAAATGAATATCCACGTGTAAATAGGTATTCCCGTGGTCGGTTGTGTTATTTGTATGGGATAATGGTGATCACCGTTAGTTAAGGTCTTGGCCATTGTAGGCAACATGAAGCTATTGCCACCTTGACCAGCGCCTTGTGACGGAGGCAATCCCAACGCATTGCCATCCGCGACACGAGGCAGGAGCAGCCAGCAGTTGTAACGGTGTCGAGGTTTGTGAAGTCTGTAGAGCGATTGCTGAATGTTTACGTTGATGTTGGAACCAAATTTGATGAGAGATGAGGACTTTTAACTAGGTCTCATGAACACCCATGTTTGTTGATGGCCATTTAATAACAAAACAAGATACATTGTTTTTACGGCATGATTTATCGGGTTACATTTTTCGTGAATGCGATGAATTTTAATCTTTGTTGATTGCCATGGTGGCCAATTTTTTAAATGTCTTGCAGTGTAAGTGAAATGTTTCTTATTTGGAATATCCATTATAAATGATTTTATTCGGCCTGGCTGTCGGTACACAAATAAATGTAAAACACGTCAAATATACACGTCAGCAAGCACTGGTCTCGCGCAGATCATCCAAAGAGTGTTCTTGTACAAAATGGGAAGATGCCGGATGCGTGATCGCAGATATAAGCTTCAGGGCTCTGCTGGTTAGTGATGTAACAGGGTGCCAACATTGTAAGGATATTCATATCCTGACCATACAGTTTCATTTGAAATCGTACATGCATGTGTACAGTCGTTTGGTCAATTCACTGCTGATTGAGGGCCTTCCCCCATGCAGTGTCGTTTGTGAGGGCTTATTTGACCATACTTTACCCCAAAAATTAATAGCTCTTGTCCTGCAGATACTTAAGCACATCCTTACCCTTGCTTAGAGAATTTTGCAGCTTCATTAGGAAACTTCTTTATGAAAACAAAACAATTTTGAGCCACTTGCAAGGGTGCCATGGTCGTGGTGTACATCACAGTTTTTGTGCTTTATCGTCTTAATATTTCACTATCGTGATGTCACTTTTGAGTGCTGCAGTGGAAACCTTGAAAGTCAAGTTAAAGTCCCATTAAAGTTTCAAACTTTTGTCAGACAGCTAAGATATACATCTTCAACATTTAAGTTATTTGGGTTTTTTCTGGTTCAGTTTGTAAAAGGATCGCTGTACCATCTTTATTAACCGTGGCCGCGGCAGCAGCAGGAGCAATGCGGATGTGAGTCATTGTGTAAAACTTCGTATTTCTCTTATTAATGTTGACAACATGCAGCACCTGGCTTTTTGGGAGTTTTTTGTTGCATATGTGATGTCATCGGCATTCCTCCTCCCGTCGTCGCAACAATTGTCAAGTTTATTCTCTTATTGGTTAAAACCCCTGGTTCTCCCTCCCCATCCCTGTGCACATTCAAAATGTATATTGCCTGCAAAGTGGGCCATGCCGCAGCTTGCATCCCTTCCTGTAAGGCTGCAGGGTGCAACCCTTGGGATTGAGAACCCGCTGGATTGCAGCATTCGAAGTGTGCACTGTTGACCCTGCGAACTTCGACTCATTCGGCTCGAGCGGTTGAGCCAGACCTGACAAAATTATGCTGAAGGGACGATGCTTTAGTACATGTTTAATGCTGCAGGTCGTAAAAGCTTTTTTTTTCCACATGTATTTGTTTTTTAATGGAATTATTGCCGACAGGAGAGAGAAAAAAAAATGTCAAGGCAAAAAGTAAAGAGCGAGTGTGGCCTCATCATGGACACCAATCTGTTTTATTCTAGCAAATACGTTTTGACGGGTTAGGGCCAGCCATGACCCGAGCGTATCACCTATGAATTTCAGATTGTTTAGTTGATTTACGTCGGATTATTTAGGTCAAATCAAAGCCATCTTCATTACTTATTGAAAACAGAATTGTCAAATAATGCACGCTGAGGTCCTGAAAGAGAACTTGCCTTTTAAAATACCATCGCGGGCCACAACGTATTCCATAAATGGTTTTTGTTTTTTTTCTACCTGCTGAGAAATGTATCATACATGTTCTCTGGGAATTTAATGTGGGTGGGTTTTAATCTGTCCATGCAGTGGAACCGAAACACTTCGCGCCTTGACGTACATTATTTGATGGTGATCTTCTGCAGAAGTTATCACTGCTCGATTGGGATTCTAACTCATTGGAGTGAACATGAGCTTTTAAAATGTACGATATGTATTGTAAGTGACAGGCAGATGAACCACTAGCATAACTGCCCACAACGGCCACTCAGACCAACAGTCACTCGTAGCTTAAAGACAAATTCCCACGTGTTTAAAGATTTACTTGAGATGATGTAATGTTGATGTCCTGTTTATTATTATTACTACTGTGTTATGCACGCCTGTTTATGAATGATACTTCACACTCTCCCTTACCTAGTGCAGATTTGTATATTGGGATTTTTTGTAGTTGCTGCATCAGCATTTTTTTCATTTTTTTTGTTCACAAGTACGTAAATGAAATAAAGATGCCATTAACGATTATTCTTGTTATCGTTCGAGAACCGTTTTCTTTTTTGATATGCAACATTTGTGATTGTGCAAAATATTTCTTCAATAAGAACTTACAATTTTAGCTCCTCTAAATTAAAAATTGTATTTAAATCTGGTAGATATCCCATTCAGTTGACGTGCCTCTTAGATGATAGGTTAATCTGAAAGTTAGCCATGTGACTCAGGGGTCTGAGCGGTGGCGATATGTTAACGACCTTGCTTGGTATACACGAGGTCATGGGTTCGAGCCCGACCCTGATGCCTGTGTAGAAGACTTGGGGACGACTCACTCGGAGACGGAGGTGAGTTAAGGGCTTTCGCCGTAAGTTTATTAAGGGATCGGGATTACAGGGGGGTGAATCACTTCCCAGGGGTTAGGGGTCCCGGGCTAGCTGCCACTGGGTCCTGACACAGCCGACTGCCCCTTGCCGTCTCCTCTGCGCCGGCCGTGGGATCAGCCAACACGGCCGACTGAGGAGCACAGCAACGTCCAGCCCTGACGCTGTGCTAAACCCCTATCCCGACCCTCTTGCCCTTCGCTCCCTGTTTCCACCCCTACTCCGACCCTACTCTTCAGCTACGACCCCGTTAACGTCACAGGGTCCCCCCTTTATACTCGAGGAGCTGTGTCGTCATGTGCGCCGTCCAGAGCGCATGACCTCACGTCCCGTGACGCCATCGCACCGGACAGCGCACATGACGCCACTACCCTCTTCTACTCCTCTACATCTGTCTACTTGGCGTTTGCATGTTCTCCCCGCGGTCGCGTGGATTGTTCTCCGGGTCATCTGGTTTTTACCTCCATATTTAGAATCAACTTACATTTAGAGTATTTTGCTGCTATACATTTCCACACAAGCCACTTCTTTTTATGGCCAGGTTCTAAAAATATCTATATAGCTCAGTGGGTCTTACCCGGTAAAATAAAAAATATATAGTTTAGTATTTAGCACTCAGCCTGTGCTGCTGAAATCCTAGGTTTGAATCCTGGTTTCAGACGTTTGTAATTAAATTGATTTCTCAAGTTATACTGTGTAAATAGCCTCAGATCGGTCTCCAATGCCTGCACAGAAAAACAAAACGTTTCATTAGATTTTTTTCCACTTTCCCAAATATCTGACTGGTGAGATTGAACAATTTCAGCTTGTCTTGTTAGACTTTTTTTCATGGCTTTAAAGAATGTGCCCATTGTGTGGCTAAAGAGATGTATTGAATCAATGCAGGAGTACTGTACATTGAGTGATGCACTGCTCACTGAAAAGTTTCAAAAGGAAATGTCTTTGTTTTAAGACAATCAGTTGGAATATAATCGTAACCAAGTATTTCTAAATTTTTATTTAAAGCTTTCGTGACTGCAGGGATTCATATGCTTGGTTCTTTCGGTAAAGTCACGTAGAAGGGAAACAATAAAATAAGAAAAATATAAAAGAATAAAAAATATTGAGATTTTTATTATTTTATTATTTCCCTTCTACGTGACTTTACCGAAAGAACCAAGAATATAAGTATTTCTAAGTTTATTTATTGCGTATAAGCTGACATAAACATTTCCTTTTGGTGAAAATGCGCCGATGCCCCCATAACCAATAATATGGGGTGCATTGTCAAGGCAGTGGATTGTAGGCGTCGAGTCAAGGTGCGAATGCAGCTCGTTGAGTTCTGCACGTGCGTTTTTGCCAGAGCCCTGTGACCAAAATTGCCCAGAATTCGACCAATCTGACACCTCGCAAGCTCATCGGGACTGGACCTGGATAGTGCTTAGATGTTTAATGAAGGAAACAGGAGGATTTTTTCAGAAAATCTGGCTGTCGCCTGATGAAGCTTGTTGTAATTACTGGCGAAACGTCGTACTCGGATTGTAAATGTTGTGGCTTTGCTCTCCAACACACCGGTGTGCTGTACTAGTGACGAATTGGCATGTTCTGTTTACGTGACAAACCTTACTAATTGGCTGTCGGGTGGTGGCGGGTTTAACGACACATTTAACCCAAAAACACCTTTATTGTGGATGATATTGGTCGCAAAAGCCCAACAGCGTGTCACACAGTGCTTGGATGGGCGACCAACACGCACTCAGGTTTCGTAGTTTGCTGCGGGAGGCGATTGTTGTGCAGCAAACGCTATAGTTTCACTGTACTTACATGCTCCCGAAACTATGCCCCCCCCACCCCATCTTACACGTGAAACCACGCATACCCTTGGGGGAGGAAGAGAGGGTAGCAGTGGTGCAGTGGTTAAGCACAATGCACTCGGGAGTCAAAAAACGACCCGAGTTCGATTCCCGGCCACAGTTAACGGCGGTGGCGAGTGACATCTAAACCGGTCCTGGGCATCGCAATTCACCAATACACACATTGACCAGCGTGGTGAAGTTATAACCAAACAGACCCCCCCACGAAGTGCACAGCGTGGGCAGGCCCTTATCCAGTAGTGGAATGACAATGTTGCCATGCAATGTTTGTCAAGGTCAACAATTGACACGTCACAAGTGTCCAATTTTCAAACGAAAGTTTGCCGATTCTGCATTTTTTTTGGAAATCCTGGGCTGATGATTTCATGACCACGTTCTAGTGGCAGGGATAAATAAATAGGTCGGGCACTGCTGGGGTTTTCCAAGGAGCATAAACCATCACGTGAATTCCGGTCATCCTCGCAGTGGATTTGGATCGTCATCGAACAACGACGGTCACTGCATCGCGCACTTTCAGATGCGCTTCTGCGGCCGTCTGGAACGCTCTTCCTGCCGATATTATGAAGCCACTGGAGGTATGCACTTTTAAATCATCTAGATTGCAAAACTCATTTCTTTAGGACTGTGTTTAGTTTGTAGTCCTCCCGCACCTCCGATCAGCACGGTTGGCTACGTTCAACGCATTTTACGAGCAGGGGGTGGCGCTTGGGTCATTTGTGTCTTCACTGGGTGTGCCACCAGAGGGCGCGCCTCTCATGGTAGACTCGCGACTTCCAACAAAGCCCTCGAATTTCCAAGTTGGCATAATCCCATCCCACTGAACCAAAAACTGGCTTTTTAAATTATGCAACGCGAGATGGTTGTTAATTGAAACCCTTGTGCCCTCGTCCATTAAATCACTCCACACAGTATTGGGGGAGGTTTTATTTTATTACAGACGAGTGCTTATATCAACAACGACGACGACGAGGGCCTATACATAGTTATTTTTTAAATTACCCGCTCTATGTGTGTGGGGAGGGGGGGGGCGACTTGGAACACCAGAACTTTACAGCCTGGGATGCATTTCCCCTGGGACATTTCCAGGACCCCCTGGTGGGGAGGGGTGGGCTTGAGGGGGAATATATATTGCGGAACCCAACACGGACAGCGCCGGCTGACGATAACCCCGTTCGCAGTTAACAGTGGAGAAAGAGGCTCTGGAAAAGTTGGGGTTAGGGGTAGGGTTCGGGTCACTTGGTGGGGTTAGTAGTAGCTGGTTACCTAGTTGATTAGCGCTAGGGATATCGTGTAGGCATAGTGCAAGCAGCTGGTTGTTGAGGAATAGTATCGGTGAGAGGGTCAATGCTAGTGACTGGTTTGCAAGTTAATTCTGGGTAGCACTAGCGACTGATCGTGATTGTCTGGCTTGTTGGTTAGGGTTAACTTTAGGGTTTGTACTGTTTACTAGTGTTTGGTTAGCTATTGTGCCACTCGTATTGCGACTTTACAATTGCCGCTTGTTTTTCGTTGCTGCTCCTTTAAAGGAGTTGGCGAGCAGCATTTCCCCCCCCCCCCCCCGCCCAACAATATCCTCAGTGTGTGCAGGCGGTGCAATTGCACCGAGATGCACGGACTGTGGAGGAGGGCCCTGGTCCCTGGGCTATACCACTGGAAGGGAGGTTTATCTTTAGCCTGGACTTCATGGTGTTCAGAGTCTGCAGGACGTGAATGCTGCCAAGGCGTAGTCCTGCTAATTACGGAAAAATATAGACAAAATTTCTTCCTTCGCGTGAGCCCAGTAAACTGGTTTGTTTCAACGTTTCATTCCAGATGGGTAGGCGAAGATTATAATAGTGATCATGCACTGTACATTAGGGACCTTCAGCTGAGTCTCAAGACTCGTTTTCAGGAGAGTCCTGTTGTTACGCTGGGATGTTTTGACCAATTACATGAATTAGGAATTTTTTATAAGATGACACTGCAGAACCCGGAGAAAACCCAACTCCATGAGGGCATCACGCCAAGCTCTTCATAGATAGTTTAAATAATCCATTGCCGAACTGTCATTGTTCCATCTCGTGGCTCGATCCGACCCACACCATTTGAGTATTCTCAGACAGGCTCCCACCCAAGTACTAACCAGAATGAACGCAGCTTAGCATTCCAAAATCTGACAAGATCGGGCACGACCAAAACAAAGCTAATGCTATCCTCACAATTTTTTATTATTTTATCAGGCAAGGCTTACTGAGCTCTACAGCTCATTTTCAGAGGCAACCTGGCCACAAATTATAGCTCAACGAAGTGGCTTATCACGTGGGAATGTATAGCGACCAAATACTTTAAACGCATGTTTTATAAATGTGGAGGGGTAAAACCCAGAGGACCCGGAGAAATTTTCACTCGACTACGGGGAGAGAGACATGCGAACTCCAAATATACTGGCGTCAGGGTCGAGATCGAGCCCACGACCTCCTGCAAACAGTTCCAAGTGAGAGAGTTCACATCTCTTGACCGTGGCGCCCCTAATACAAAATAATTTAAGCCTACATTTCATGCGATGCAGTCTCTGGACATCGATGTAAAAACCTCAAATCTGGCAATACAGTTCCCGAGGTCATTACCACCAACAACATCACCACCACCACCACCCCCATCCCATCAGCCCACACCTCGCGGCAGCTGCCACGGCTTTAAGCCGCGCCAGGCACCACGCGTTGTGTTGTGCCGAAGCTTCCCAAGGGGAGTGGGCAGGAGAGGGGGTGGGGTGAAAGTGCGGTGAGAAGCGGGGGGCACCCAAGTAAAGAGAGTAGGAGGC